CTTCTCAACACTAATTCACTTGATGATGTCCTTAGGTTTTAATTAAGGACAAAGATGGCATTGACTGCTGAAAGGGTGAATGTCTCTCTTGAAGGATTGCAAAGCACACAGGAACTTGTGTTTGTGTCTCTGACTTTAAGGCACTTTGTTATCTTGGTGAATGGAAGCTGTATATTATGTGAAGTATCAGTCAAATTGAGTTACTTGTTTTCTATGAAGACCATGGATTTATAGTCTGCCCCTTTGCTGATATAAGATATTATTTGATTTTTATTATTTAAAAATTACTTTAAATTGTCTATGCCTTGAGGGCTGGTTTAATAAATGATATTCTAGCTACAAGAAAGAATAATGTATTGCCAATAAATGTCAGTATTCAGTAGAATATTTTAATGGCAAGGGAAAACGCTGATGATCTATTGCTAAGCATTAAAAGCTGGTTACAAAATGATGTGCCTCAGATGACTCAACTTCATAAAAAATAGAAAAAACGGAAATGTGAGAAAAATTGCAATAATGTTTGTCCTTGGTAGATGGAACAAAAATTATTTTTAAAAATTACTTGTTATTTTTACAACTTACTGAAATTTTCATATTTTTTCCTGCAAAAACATATAGAACATTTAGAATGAAAGAAAATGCTGCATTAATTTTTTTTCTGACTGTAGTCTTCCTGGGAACCTGGGATACATCTGTTTTCACACTATACATCATTGAGTGTAAAGTATAAATCATGCAGATTTACAGAGAAATTACAATGGCACCATTAGATTGCTGCTCTCACCCCAACAGTGTCCAAGGAGGGGCTCAGCTCCGACTGTTCTCCCAATAGCTCCCATACCTCCTTCCGGAGAGTTCCTGGCTGCAATGGAGGCTCCATTTTATGGGTTCAGACACTGAGGTCTAGCTTCGAGGAGTCCTCCCTATCTGCGACCAACCTTCTGGGCTTGCTAACTCTGTGGTTCACAACAGAAGTTTAGGAGGCTCGGTGGGAAGAAAGCAGAAGCGATGGAATAATTTCAGAGAGGGTCAGAGTTCAAGTCCTTCAGTAGGAGCTTTCCAGAACAGATCTAAAACTAGTGAAGTGTTACCAAGGGAGTTAGTGTGCATATGCTCAGGCCCAAAGTTAGTCTCCAAGATTGGATCACCAGCTGGCTTGGAGGGCAGCAGGGAAGAGAGGGACAGGCATATATATCTGAGTGTCCACTGGGTGGCAGGCCCCTTCCTGCCCCAAGTCCTTATGAGTATCTGAAAGGCTTGGGATACTCTGGATTCAGAGTTACTAGAAGGGAGGGTTGAAATACAGATTCTGGGGTCCAGACCACCCCTAGGCACTCCAACTCAATGGTCCAATTGCACCCTCAGGTCCTCCTTTCTCCTTGCCTCTTGACTCACTGTAGTCCAGGCTGACCTTACACTCATTCTTGTCCTGTGTTTACACTGCATTTGGGGTGCTGAGGCTATAGAGTAAGCCGCCACACACAGCTTAGACTCTAGTTTCTAATAAGCTGCTGGGAATACTGTTAGTGCCACTTACTGGTATGCTACACTGTGAGCACAGAATAAATCAGCTTGGACTCTGGGAAGGGAGGACATGGTACAGTCTCTGACAGAGAATATGAGGGGTTCCAGGGCTATTCACGAAGTGTGACTGCAGCTAGAAAAGCACACAGATGTGTTGTTTAAAATATTAGGTAGAAACTCCAAACAAGCTTCAAGCAAAATACATTTAAGAGTATTTTACATGTAAGTCAATACTTCCCAAACTATTTGAAGTAAAAGAGTATTATGAAATCCTATCCATCATAGACCAACGCATTCCTTTTCTTGCTTAAGACTCTGACACAGTTCTGGCCATGTGTGGCTATCAGGCAAGTCTGATAGCACCAAATTGGTTCAGTGAGTGCCACTGGTGACACTTCTGGTCGTGGATGATAAGAAGGTGCTGTGAAAGTTTTTGAAGCTGGTTCTCCACTTCTGACCTTTCATCAGCAGAGAGTGATAATGATCGGTTTGCATCCCACAAACCACAAAGGAAAGGGTTCTGGGCTAGTTCCAATAGATTACTAATTTGGGTTGGGGCTTATTATGCAGCTTCAAGCAGCCAATTTACTGTTTTGAATCGCTGAACCACAAGTTAACTTTTGCATATCACTCAAGGTCACTGGTTTTTATTGGTTACACCTGGGGTGCATGGAGTGAGGCTAATCAGATATCAGTTTGGCGCAACTGTTCTTTTTTTCATGCTTAGACATTAAGCATAATGTCCCGTAGATGGTAGGTCTTGTTTCAAGCACTAGATGATAAATGCATGCAGGAGGAGGCCAGGGCACCAACTGCTTTAAGGCTGGTGGCCAGTCAGAAAGTACATGCCCAGCATGGATGGCCATCAGACAAAACCTTCCTTGTGGACTCTATAGACATAGCCATCAATGGAGCAGAAGCGAAGAACCAATTCCCAAGTGAAAATGTAGGCACCACTCACTGATGTCCTAATATAAGAGGAGGATGTAATTTAGTAGATTCTTGTGCTATGTGACTCAGGTCACTTGGGTGTCATTTCCCCATTGAATCAGAGCATCATTTTAAGCCCAGATCAAAGTGAACCTTGGTGGTATCTCAGAAAACCTCAGAAGGTTTGCCTCCATTATACCAGAATAATGAAAATATACTTTAATGATTTAGGGAAAGAACCAGAAGATCTGAGCTTCATAAAACAGCCTACCCCACCCATCCTCATCTGATAAACTCCTCTCGTTCCATTCCTTGTTAGGCAGTTCAAGGAATTTTTATGACATAAGTTTGTATAGCCAATAATAGCGATCACATGAAAAATGGTGGCTGCTACTTAAAGTACGCTACAAGTCAGAGACTGTGCTGGATATTTAAGCACATTCAAAATTTTTTCCTTTCCTTTCCTTTTTTTTTTTTTTTTTGTTTTTTTGTTTTTTGAGGCAGGGTTTCTCTGTGTAGCCTTGGCTGTCCTGGATTTGCTTTGTAGATCAGGGTGGCCTGGAACTCACCGCCTGCCTCTGCGTCCCTACGTGCTGGGATTACAGGCGTGTGCCACCACGCCTGCACTGTCTTACATAGTTTGTTATCAACATAACAGTTACAAGCTTGCTCTAAACATACAGTGGGAAGCCCAAATGTGTCAATCTCAAAAATGTGTCTTCTTGGCCTCTTGGATGCGGACTGTAGACAGTAAATGCAAAGACTGTCTCTGCCTTATCCTTCCTTCTTTTTGTCCTTCACACTTAGCCTCAATTTGCTATCCACCTCTGTGCTAGAACTCCCACCTTCTCTTACTTTCAAGCTAAATTAACAAACTAAAGTTTAATGTTTAAAACTTTACATATGTAAGAACAAAATCCTTCATAAATGATAGGGACAGCACTCTGTGAATGAATGAACTTGGGTTCTAGACATGAATGAGTCAAACTCAGTTCACTAGTCCTTATATCACAAGGATGCTGGGATTTCGCTATACACCAAAACCAGGCATGGCTTTACTGCAGCTTATAAAATCGGAAACTACAATCTGCTTGTAAAGCTGAAGAGTAAATACGCGTGCACACACACCTCTTCACACAGGGAGACCCACTTTTTGCATTCTGACTTCTTTGAAAAAAAAAAAAAAACTCATTTTGCCATTTTTTAAATATCACTTTAAAAATTTCAAAGAGCCTCCTTTACAAATGTCTGCATAAACAAGACTTTAACGATGGCTGTATCAATGGACATGTTAAGGTGGAAAGGGAAAATTACACAGGGTCTTACCTCTACACAGAGAATTACAGGCTGCTGAGGACTACTGGGAGAAGAAGAATTCAGCTCTCCCAGGGAGCAGCCCCCTTAGGGTTGTCCAGTGCAGAGTGGTCAGCCTTGGAACCATATGTACACAAACAACAGAAAGAGACTAGATGTTGTATTTATATGTTTATATTTATGTCTGTGTATCACATACATACATATGTATGCCATGATAATAATCAAAGAAAAGGAGGCTATCAATTGGAGAGTTGGGTGGCATGGCAGATGTTGGAGGAAGGAACCTGGGAGGGACTGCAAGGAGGAAAGGGAGGAGGGAAGGTGAGGTAATTCTATTTCTATTTAAAACGTTATAAAAAAATCTTTTAACTTCTAAATAATCAATGCAAAAATGTAAGAATCACCTTTCAGAAGGACCAATTTAAGCTTTATTACAAGTACAAACCAAAAGCCAATCACGATCTTTTTAGCTTTTAAACTCTGGACTTGCAACAGATGGGTAGTTACAAGAACTTGGACACTTAATGACACACAGTGGTTTAAGAAGCCAAGATTTTGGGCAACCATAAGACCATAAAGCGATCAGCATGGAGGACATCTGTCAGGTGGGGTGGCCTGAGGTGAGACAGCAGCTAAGTCTTATGTGATCAGAAGCCTGGGCCACTTCAGCTGGTTTTGCTTCCCCTTCATGAGGTGACAACCTCCTAACACCCTAATCTTCTCTGCATGACGGTGGCACAGGATTTATTGACCATCAGACATTAAAATCTCCCTGTCAACCATAAATTGTCTATGTAGGTTAAAGGCAGGCATCAAAAATCCCTTTCACTACTGGTGTAACTGGGATAAGAAACATTTGCACATGCACACGCTCATAAATACACCTCAAAGCAAGTAGATGAGTGCAGCAATGTCTGTTTCCACTCAGATACAAGCAGAATAAAAGACCAAATTAACAACAATTTTGCTCATTGAAAAATAAAAAGGCATCTTTTCCAGAGTATCAGGATATGGCATAAAGTGCTTGGCTTGGACCCCACATGTTTATTTATGCTTAAAAAAATTAAAGGACAAACAGCAGGGAGGATCAGGCAGGGAAATGCAGAATTGACAGCAGGCGTGAAGAAATGGAGATGGGGCAGTCATGGAAGACGCATGCGTGCCGTGAGGGTCTAGCAGAGTGGGGGTCAGTGCATGTGTGCGGTGATGGTCCAGTAGGGAGTAGTTACCTTTACATTTCTTCTCTTCAGTCTGGAAGGACTGGGCGCTTGAGACACTCTGATCATTCACACCATCAGGATCAAGACGAAATATAGAACTGGTCCAAGTGGCCTGGATGAGGTGTGGGGATGTCTGCTCATTCTTTAGTGCACCACGCCTCTCCACATGGCTCTTCCTGTCCAGGCAGCCTTCGGACATTCCTACCAGCTTCCAGTCCTGTCCTCGGTCTGGACGGGGCTTCTGTTTGTCCCAGGCTGGAAGGCCATTTTCTGGTGAGAAGGGAGTGAAAAACACAGATAACGCAGTGTAGGTATTGCCAAGGTCTTGCTGAGATTCGCGTTTTCAAAGGCCAGTTGCTGCTCAGTTCTTTTGGGCTGACACTGTTCATGCGTATCTCCACTATGATGTCAGGACACGCTGACGCTGTCAGACCTGGGCACAGGGCCACCTGAGCTGGAGTGACCAGCACATTTCCCCTCTAGTTTTCAGGGTCCTCCACTGCAAGGCTCTGCTGGTCTCATCACTTCAGCAGTGGCCCAAGGCCAAGCTGATACCAGTTTATATCGCTGCTTAGATGAGCATCTGAGGTCTTGAGAGTCAGGGCTGGCCACGACCTGAGTCAGATCCTTAGGATGTAGCACATCTGTGTGCAGCCTTGTTTGACTTGGGCTGAGTCACACACTGACCCGAGGGATGTTGTGTCACCTAGGTTGGACCTACTCAAGTGGCCACACACTGAGCCTCACAAGCTGCTCTTAACAGCCTTCTACTCTGAGGTCAAAACTAAGGAAACACGAAGGAGCCACTACCAACAAAACACAACACAGTTCCCAAGTTTAAACGCCTGCATCTCAAACATGGAAGTTTTGTGTTCAGTGTAGTCCCAAACTGCCATGAAATCACATAGGGAGCAAGTCCTGCTTTCTCTTTGTGGCAAATTAAGAGTTCTAAAGATAAAGGATGTGGCTGGATCTCTTAGGCTGGGTTAGACTGGAGAGCTAACATTTTATTGTGTTTGCCTTTAGCCTATGGGATGTGTAGGCCTGTTTTCTGGAATGGGCAGAAATAGAAAAATATAATGAATTTCTTACTGAAGTATCTCCTCTAGTGACAAATTTCTCCTTATTCAATGTCTTTACTATATATGCAGATAAAGCAAAGACAAAAATGATAAGAATACACATACCCCCCACCCACTTGCTTTCATGCGTACAGCACACATAAACACATGCACACACATACCACATATCACACATGTGCCACACACCCACAAGCACACACATACACAGGCACACACACATTTGTATGCTCATACAAACACATCCACATGTGCATGCACACACACTGGCACACACATACCACACACAGGTGCACAACTCACACAAATGTGTGCACTCACACAGTGCACACACCACACCCATGCACACATACCACCCCAACACACGTGCACACGCACATGTGCACACATTCGTGTGCTCACGTGCATACACACACGTGCACACACACAAACAGTACAATTTACTTGTCATCTGTGTCAATATTAGAAAAAAGATGTGGTCATATACACTGACTGGAAGACTATAATTTATAAATAAACAAATATATATACATATATATATATATATATATATATATATATATATATATTTTTTTTTTTTTTTTTTGGTAGTTCTGGGTGACCAAATCCAGGGCCTTGTACATGCCAGGCTAGTGTTACATCACTGGGCACATTCTTCCTGGGTACTTTTTCCTTTTATGTTGAAGTGACCGAAAGACCACAACCGAATCCTTTGTGCATACAGAGACCAAGCCACCCTGACTTGTGCTTTGGCACAGGAATCTAGGGTGCCTTTTCAGACATGCTCTGGGTTTCCACAGCACCCTCTCTGAAGCTGCCAGACTCTCAGCTGAGGTTGTGTGGATGGTTTATCTGGAGTGTCCTCCATCGGATGTCGCTTCTGGAAGTCATGGTCCCCCTTCTGAGACTCCTGTTCTTACATCCATATACACTCAAACTTCTGATCCAGGAGACAGTAAAGAGCCTGCATGGGATTTCTTTCTCTTTTGACAAAAAGATTTACGTTAGCTTTATTTATGTGTGCATGAGTGTCTCATCCCTCTGTAGGTGAACATGCGTGCACACATCCATGCAAAGTATCTGCAGAGCCAGAAAGACCACCTTAGACCGGACAGAGCTAGAGTTCTGAGCTGCCCGATGTGGGTGCTAGGAATCAAACGTGTCTTCAGGAAGAGCAGTAGCAAGCATCCTGAACTGCTGGGCTGTCCCCAAGCCCCCAGCACAGTGTGTCTTTGCCTAGTAAATGGAAGCCTTATGGCCTGAACTAGGAGAATCCTCGCATGCATTAGGGTTTGGACTGCACCACTTGCTCTGATTCAGGGAAGGTGCTGGAAATTCTCCACACTTAGGATTGTATAAGCCATTGTATTGCGCAGGTTAAACAAACATGGGTGCTTTCTTCTCAGGGTTTATGAGGTATTATTCATTGCATGATGAATCACCTCTTCCACATTCCAGCTGTGCCCACCGCTGGTGCAATTTCAGGCATTTATTCTCATGTCCATTTAAAGGAAACGAGATTGCATTGAAACCAAACATATCTGTGAGGAGTTCATTCAAGCACCTATCATCCATGAGAGCTTAAGTTTCTTGTGAACTAATTACTAAGTGGCTGGATGCAAAGGTTAATCGTAGGTATGGGGAGACTCACTTTACTCCCACAGACACAAGAAATCGCACCCACGCATGCTACTGCTCTTTCTACTTTATTTTCAGAGATTAAATCCCTGGCAAACTGGGCCCTGTAAAGTTCAATTTAAAGAATACTAAAGTTCCCAGAGGATTTTGTAAAACTCTAACATAAAATCTTTTTGCACTAACTTCTAAAAGTTGGTAGCAATTTTCCAGCCCTAACAAAAAAAATGAAGAAATCAGGCAGTTGCTAGTCCTTATTGAATCTGGGTTTCAGATGAAAGAGGTCTAAGAACTGTATACCCAAAGAGACATTCTCTCCCAGAACAAAGCCATTTACAGCTTATTCTGCATGTCCCTTGGGCCAGCAAGAGGGAGTTTCTTCTAGCAAGGGAGGCTATGTTTGGGGTAAGGTGAGTGATAGGATTGCTTTCCACTTTCCTAAGAAAACCAATTGAGATGGTTTGGGTAAAGGGTTCCATTCACAGGAGGCATTTACAAGTTCATAATTACTGTCTGTAATTACATTCGCAATAATGATATTCAATTGCTTAATTGGCAGGTTTATGGGCTACACACTTCTGGGAAAACTGGAGACTGAGAAGCCCTGGCTGGGTCATGGGAAAATGCAATAGGGATTTCTCTAAAGAGAATACCTGATTCTTATCAACTCAAGGACAGGGGAGTACATGGAATTCTTACTCCATTCCCAAGGGAGGATGGGACTCTCACTATGCCAGGTCCAGAAATCCTAATTGTTGGGTGTCAAAGACTACAGGGTACTTCCACATATATGTGCAGCTGATAAAATGTCTTTAGGATGGTTTTTTTCTTATTACTGTATCATGTGTCCATATCCTCTCACTTCTCCAAAGCTCATGCAATGGATTATCCCTTTTCAGAGGAGTTAACATCCTCAAGGGTCAATCATGACTCCCAACCCTCGGCACCTATCAGAATCACCACAGGTGCTTATCACAACATTGAAGACCTGACTTTTCCAGTTGTGCCAGGGCCTCAGCATGGAGATTCTGCTGAGTTCTCCAGGTGACTGAGATGCTGTCAGAGTTTGAGAGCCAAAGGACAAAAATAAAGTAAGGTAGTAAAACTAATTACATAAGTCCCCCATGGTGTTGAAAGCATGGCAGAAGTGTGGTGTAGTTCGCAACACTGCATCCACAGAAGGAAACAAGGGATGGATGGGACGTGAAGCCAGGCTATAAATCCTTAAGAACTATCCCCATTAACCTACTTCTCCCAGTGAGGTTCCACTCCTATAATTTCTACAACCTTCTGAAAGAGTATCACTAGCTGGAGATTGAGCATTCAAATTCAGGAGCCTGGAGAGGGACACTGAACATTCAAACCACAATACCCTGCAAAGAAGAAAGTACTTCCTTAGCAGATTCCAGCTTTCTTATCCAAAGCCATAGGTGTGTCTCATCACTGCAGGTCCCTTGGAGAGGATCGTGCTCTTCATCTGCTCAGGACTGCTGTTGAAAGAAAAGCTGCATCCAGTACAGGAGTGTGGGCATCTGCTGGTCAGCAGTCGCTCCCTGGCTTTGCCATATATGGGCTGTGCTTTGGGGCAGACTGTCCACATCTTTGTCTCTTTCCTGAATGCCCACAGTACTTTTTTTTATGACTCTTCTATGCAAGGTAACACCTTGCTGTAGCCTCTGTGATGATTTCAATAGTACATGCTTGTCTTGCCTGACTGGAGTCTAGCCCACATCTCCATTTCTCAGCCTTAACATGACATCATCACATAAATATTTAAAATAACTGAACATAGTCAAGAGAGCTCTAGATACCCTTGAGGCTGAACATAGTACATGTGATCTTCTAATCCAGGAATTCATATTCATTGAACTATAACCTGCTCAACACAGGGCAGTTAGCCACACTGGTCAGTATCAAAGCTACAGAACAAAAGGCAGTTGGACCATGAACAGATGTAGCTATGAAGCCTCAACCAGCCCTGAGAAACCTACAGACGTGAGGGCACCTAGATTATCTGGATGTCTCCATTCCTGACATCTGTCTTCTATGAACGATGCAAGCTTAGCTCATTGCCTGACCCCGCCCCCATATCCATGTCTGGGGAAAATATCCACAAGGGACACCAGGGCAAGGCTGCTTCTGTTATTGGTCCTGTGGGCTAAGTGGGAGGGCCACTGGCAGGCTTGGGTGCTTCTTGGTGTTTCTGGGTCCATGTGAGGGTCTGCCTGGCCTGAGCACTTCCAGTGCAGGGTCTGGCATGACACTGCGTTGATTCATGAGTCTTAGTGCGGAGAACTTCCCTAGCTGATGTCAGAAAACAAGAGAAAGGGGTGATTGGGAGGAGTCAAATGGTGGGCTGTTGTAAAGGAGCTGTGAATAAAGGCTGCTTGACCTTAAGCAGTCTCAGAAGATGACAGAGGCTAACATGCCTGCTGTACATGGCCAGAGTCCTGTAAGTGCTCAGCATCCTTCCTCTTTCACCACCAACACAGAGTTTGGCGTTACTATACTGTGTTTAGCTAATGAAACAGGACCTGCAGGCTCCACTCCCTCGCTCCCTTTATCCTTCAACAGACAGAAATGTTCTATGCCATTCTGGGCCCAGCTTTCCCTCATTACCCTGTCTTAGAGTGAATGTTCATCCTTTGCAAGATAATATGTACTCTAACGACATGTAATCCTGTTCCATTTTAAAATATCTTAGCCAGAGTTTCCCGTCAGAAGACTACTGAGCCTGGAGACTGGGCCCATATATTACTTTTGTCCTTTCTATACTTTAGATCTACAGATAAGAGCAGAATGTTCTGGTCTGTGTAAGGCACGGGGGCTTGCATCACAGCTGGGCACCGGGCCTTCTAGGTCACTGGCTTCAAAAGGAACGGGTGGTAGAGAGGGTCATAGAGGAAGGAGATCGTTTATTATGTATAAGGTACATTAATGGGAACACTAACATTATCAAGGGTTAAACTTCTCCAAGAATTAAGCTGGGCTGGAGAGATGGCTCAGCACTTAAGAATACTGGCTGCTTTCCCAGAGGACCTGGGTTCAGCTCCCAGCACCCACATGGCAGCTCGCCACTGTCTATAACTCCAGTTCCAGGGGAAGTCGACACTCTCACATAGGCATACATGCAGATAAAACAGCAATGTACACAAAATGAAAATTTTTAAAAGTCATCAAGAATTTACTATTTGACAAACTAATAGAACACCCGAAGAACTGCTGTTACATGAGTGTGTGTGGTTTAAGCCAGCATGTACACATCACCTCATCCAACATAAACATCTGTGCCAGGAAACCAAACCAATACAAGAGCTCCTTTTAGGCAGGAGAAGTTCACAGATTCCCAAGTTTTTGTGTAGAATGTGTTACAATGTATTATAATCAGGAATTCTCTTGCTTGGGGATCCTGGGTACATGACTGAATACCCATTGCCTGAGCAGAGTCAAATAAAGCTCCAGCTTCCACACCCCTCCTCTCTTCTCCAACTTGGAGGGAAGCAGGAGTAGTGAAAGAGCCCCCGCAGCTGCAGGGCTGGCTGGGGCTCACTAGCTTCCCCTCATCCCCATACTGCTTTCACCAAACCGCTCTTTCTTCACTTCCTCCCCATTCCAAAGGCTAAATGTTTTGGCAATCTCAAATCTGGGGCAGAGGTCTCTAAAAAAATGAAAAGGATCCAGAAAGATAATGGAGTTACTGTATTTCCATTGAAAATTTAAAAGGTTGCAAGCTCACTGAGACTACACTTGTTCATGTGAAGAGATAAGCAGAGGAAAGGCTGGAGTGACAGTGGTGTGTTCAAATGCTCTGGCTGAGGTGTGCCCATCTGAAGAACACTTCTAATGCCTCACCCCTGGGACCGATTCTGGCACTGAGGCCCTTGTTCAGCAAGTCTGCAAAATCCATCTCCACACAGTTTGGCAGCCTTCCACCCGTTACCATGTGTCTTTGTCTTCCTCTTGCCAGCACCTGCCTATTAATTTCCCTCTAGTTGATCCTGAGCTTCTGTCTGTGTGGGCACATGGATTCTGGTTTCCTGTCACAGAAAGATTAACCTGTTTCACCAGCAGTGTATTGTGGGTAAGACTTGGGAGCCTATAAGAGACAGACAAATCTTTCCCATTGCTGCTGTCTCCCACTCCTCTGTTTCTGCATATTCTGTAAACACACTGATTGGTAGCCTCAAGGAAAATAATCACCATGGGCATAGAGACTTTATATAATTATTCTGAAGCCAGAGACTGCAAGGATAGTCTCCCAGTAAGGGAAAATAATAACCATTAAAAACAAAACAAAATGAAAATGTGTGTTTAGAACATTTAAATGGATGTCTTAGTTTATTTTAACATACAGCCTGAAATAAAGTTAAGAAACAAACAATGAAAGATGTGTATGTAGATGGCAGATTTCTCTTCACTGGAGAGAACAGGTGGGGATTAGGTTCATATGGCTTCTGAGACCTACTGAACCAGACAGGAAGTGGTGCTCAGCACCCACCAGAGGCTCCAGGAGCAGAGAAAGTACTTCCTGGAGCACACCCTGGCCCCTCCCCAGGACTGGCTTCTTGCTTTTCTGTATTCACACTGGATTTGAGCATCGGATTCTCAGGTTAGATGACTCAAACTTTGAGGTACTCACACTGAAGCCATGGAACTAAAGGTTAGCACATCAGAAAGGCTCTGGCTGCTGCAGGGACCTTATAATTTTTCTTTCTTTCTTTCTTTCTTTCTTTCTTTCTTTCTTTCTTTCTTTCTTTCTTTCTTTCTTTCTTTCTTTCTTTCTTTCTTTCTTTCTTTCTTTCCTCCCTCCCTCCCTCCCTCCCTCCCTCCCTCCCTCCTTCCTTCCTTCCTTCCTTCCTTCCTTCCTTCCTTCCTTCCTTCCTTCCTTCCTTCCAGTTTCCAAGTAATTTTATTCAGAATTTTATGTTTGTTTCCTGAATCAATGAATATTGTTTCAAGTCATGATTCTCAATCCAGAGACAATGGCCCCATGGGATGGAGCCTGAAGGCATCATTGAGAGTAACTGGAATGAGACTGTGGATAGCTTCCATAACATGAATCTCTCAGAATCCCTTCTTTGTGGCATTTATGCCTATGGTTTTGAGAAGCCCTCTGCCATCCAGCAGTGAGATATTCTTTCTTGTATCAAGGTTTATGATGTGATTTCTCACGTCCATCTGGGACTGGGAAACAGCTACATCTGTCATTTCACTTCCGGAACCTTCCTATTCAGGAGTCTCACAGACTCCCACAAGGGGCAGATGTTTGTTTACTGCTAGGTTAGATTTTCCTGGTGCTCTTGTTTAGGGCATAATGTTTATTCTCGTTACAGTGAGCTCACATCTTTGAAAGAAAGAAAGAAAGAAGGAAAGAAAGAAAGAAAGAAAGAAAGAAAGAAAGAAAGAAAGAAAGAA